AAATTCTGCAAAATGGTTAAAAGTTAGTATATATAAATTTAAATCACTGCTCAATATGATTAAAGTGATTTCTGGTTAGCTGGAAGGGAAAAAAAAGTAAAATACTTTCAATCACTCCTGTTCAGTTTTGTAAAATAACTAATTAACTAACTGACTGACTGACTGACTAATTAACTAGCAATAAAAATAAATAAAGGAATAAACATACACCCTGTATTTTTGTTATTGTAATGTACTGTATGTTAGAATAGTATAATAGCGGTTTTATTGTAGATTTGTTCCAATATTTCTTTCAATGTGATGACATGCAATATTCACTTTGAGTATTATATATTATTTAAAAATATTTTTGTAGTAATAATAATAATAATAATAATCATAATAATAATAAAGAGTTTAAAAACATCTCATTCAACAGAACAATACTATTACAACCACACAAACTCCTAGTGTAGAAAAATATGTATTAATAATGTATCATCTAATAAGAATCCATCTGTTCAAATCATTTTTTTAGTTAAAATTCACCATCAACTTGAGCACGGCGAACATTACCATCGAAACCACTGAGTTGACCGCCGAGCTCCAGCTGACTACGCAAGTACCTTTTTTGTACTCTTGATACGTTTTCAAAATGGCGACACAGTACACTGTCTGTCGCCGATAATTAATTTATGATTTGTATTCACGATTCATCCACAGCATCAGCGAGCAGCCTGACCTGGCACCAATCACGGCAGTGGCCAAAGTTGTAATAGAGCTCCCTCTTTCTGTCAGTGGGTAAGTCACTTTTTACTTTCCACTCACCGGCCACAATATTAAGTACACCCTATCAGTTTCATGAGATCCAATACAAGAGATGATACGGAACAAAAATCAAACTGCTTTTATAAAGATAATATTGTGGGTAGAATGCTATCAGGTAACCATAGAGAAAGAATATTGCATTATTATTTGCTGAAATAAACTCAATGAACATGTTTCAGCTATGCCAAGGTGTGTTTGCGTGTGCCCAGCTGTCCCTGCTGCTGATGTGATTGTGTGTTACTGCAGGCTGGCTCGTCCTCACCAGCTATTCTTCAGCGGTGATGTTAAGGGTGAGAGCGCCATGAGCAGTCTGGAGGACGTCGGCAGCCCGGTGGATTTTGAGTTTGTGGTGAGGAACGTCGGCATTTCCACTTTAAGCGAATTCATATTTTCAGACCACGTCCGCCTGAAGTCTGGCTGGTGTGAGTGATTTTCAATCATCTACATATGATGTGAAAGCTGTGACCCTGTGTATCGGGTTTTCAGGCTCCACACACAGTATATTGTAGGCTACTGTGTGACTGTTATTGAACCACGAAGTCATGGTGCGATTGTCAAGAAAGAAGAGGGTCGCCACAAAAGAGTGGTAGTGTTTATGTGTAATGCATATGGCATGTACTGCATTTAAATGGCTCACTTAAGCTTAAATACAGGAGAAATAAAAAATGTTTTTGTGGGTGAAACCTCATGCGCATTTTTGATTGGCTGTTACATCGGCGACGTTGCAATTTCAATTTGAAAGGTTTCAAAAATATCAATTTTGAAAAATTAGTTCAACTGTACAGAACAGTTCTATGACAGTCCTATGGTGTGTGGTTAAAAGATTTGCAGAAATGACTATGTCTCCGCCCCCCCGCCCCAATCCCGGACAAGCTCTGCAAACGCTTGGCTCCGCTTTCCTCAACATTATGTGGCCCTATGAGCTAGCCAATGGCAAGTGGCTCCTGTATCCAGTCAGCATGAACTTCGATGGGCATTTGGCATCCCACTGTACTCCGGCAGAAGCGATGAACCCTTTGAGTCTGCATGGTCCCTCACCTGCGCAGCTTGTCAATCAAACGGTGAGTGTGATAAGAGAGAAAGTCCTTCAATTCATGTTTCATGTAGAGTGGAGCACCACAAAAGTGGATGTGCTACAAGATGGTTCAGATTTTTCTTTGGGGTTTTTTTTTCCTTTCACATTTGCATGATTGGCTTCTTTGAGACTTAAAATTGTCACGAGGTGTGAATGTTGTTGTTGTTGTTTTTTTTTTGGCTATTACATGCCTCGCGATTGGCTGGCAACCATTCAGGGGTGTATCCCACCTTTCACACAAAGTCAACTGGGCGAGGCTGCAGCTCACCCACAATCCTAATGAGGACAAGTGCAATAGAAAATAGTTGAATGGATGGCGTTCTTTATAAAGTTGTACTTTAAAACAACATCGAACAAAAGTATTACATTAAAACACAATGTTAATCATTCAAATTTGTGCAAAATGATTTCATGCCTCAATTCAATTCTTTGTGCGGCTCCTTCTGGTTTGCCCGCCTTGGCCACCAGGGGGCAGGAAAATAAAATACTGTCATACAGACAAACCAAGAATCGGCCCCATTATGTCCTTGTTATCTCTGTGGCTTAATAAATTTCAATAATATTATGTTGTTGTTTTTTGGCAGGGGATAAAGAATATATGACTTAGCGTATTGTGATATTGTCTGTCTGTGTTGAGCCACCATTTGTGGTCAAATATCTATTGCTTAAAGGATTTTCACACTGTGACTAGTTTTTCATTATATGTTGGATTAAGCCAGGGGGGAAATTCAATTTAAATGCACAAAAAAAAAAATATCTTTATTTATTTTTAGTTTGACTGAGAACATCAATTCCATAAACAGTTTGCATCATCTTTTTGAAGATTCGCTCACTATTTGCCAAATTGTTCGTTCAAATTGACTTCTGCACAGGACAAACTAAACTCCTACTTAAAGGTAGAGTGGTGTCATGAAAGCTTTCGTGTTCGTGTTGTTTGTCTGCTCGGCTTGTCACCAGGCTGGGCGAGTTCGCCGCTCCCACCTGGATCTCGAAGGCCAGGAGACGAGCAGCGGCAGCGTGAAACGAACCGCTCCGGCTGTGGCGGCTTCCGAGAGACGCAAGTCACTCAAGCTGGTGAGAGGCAGAATACTGTAAATCATCACAGCACACAAAAAAAATACTATGCTGTACCTTGGACTATCTCACCCCAATTTGGGTGACTTTTAAGCTAAGTGTTTGTAGAGTGCGCCGTGCGATTATTGATTTTATTTATTTTTTGTTGGTGTGACAGGATTGTCTCCTGGGGTCAGCACGGTGCGTGCTCTTGCAGTGCCCCCTCCACAGGTTCTCCGGACAGGCGGTGCTCAAGATCCACGGCAGGCTGTGGAACAGCACTTTCATCGAGGTACAATTTACGGGGAGGTTTTCGCAACCAAGAACCCGTATCAATTCAACACTTTGCTCTTTCATGATACGAGTGCCATGTGTTCGCAGGAGTTCCCGACTGTTAGCGCTCTGGAGCTGCTGGTCAGAGCAGAAATCACCGTCAAATCCACCATTAAACATCTGCTCCTCAGGGATGCTGCAGCACAGGTAACGTCTATAATCATGCATAGGTTCATATAAACCCCACACCATGAAGTTTTATGTACACACAAACCGACATGGGGGAAAAAAAAAATCTTGCCAAAAAAATAAATAAAGAATTGAATGTGTGGATTCAGGTTAATGTTACGTAAGCACCCCAAAAAACAAAAAAAACAACAAAAAAAATCACCCCACAGGGTGTCCCATTTCGATGTTGCTGGCTCTTTTCAGAATTATCGCCTCTGAACGAGATGTCCAATCCGAGTTGGTCTTTATGTTGTGTAGGTTCCAGTGATGATCTATCCCGAGCCCGGTCTAGTGGATCAATACTCAATCCCCTGGTGGATCATTCTCATCGCCATCCTGGCAGGCATCCTTCTGCTCACCCTGCTGGTCTGCATACTTTGGCGGGTAATGACATCATCATATAGTTCCCGCATAACTATTCAAAGCCGTCATTCCACTTTATGAAATTTGCAGCTGAAGAGTACCCAAAAGATCATTTTATGATTTTGATAGTTACAAAACATTTTGGTTTGTTGGTTGGTGGAAACGTGACAGTTTGTCCTCTTTTCACTGCTGAACTTCTTCCTTGTTCTCTTTCACTTCCTTCTTTCGAACCTCAGTGTGGCTTCTTCAAGCGCAGCGAGAGGCGCCAACACTATGACACGGAGTATTACCGCGCTCATTTGGGCGTCCAGCCCTCGGAGGTGGAGAAGCAGGCCTCTGAACTGTAATGAGAATACATTTCAGTCGGGCCCGCTCTCTCCCCTCCATCTGTCTCCCTCAAAGCGGTAAAGATGGCCGCCACACGGTTGCTTTTAGCTCACGTCCGCCGGCGTGTACGGCGGCCTGGTGTTCACAAGGATGACATCAATAAAGATATTAAGTGATGTATCAAACATTCTCACCTCTAAAATTGTATATTCTTTACTTTGTGGTAAGACAAATATTCGAAACAGCTCTCGGTTTGATGCAGTGCTGCTTTTCAATCATGAATGAACGCAGAATTTAATACATGTAGCCAAATTTAAATTGTAATCCTATTTTTTGCAGTATCTATCAATAAACAACGACCTTCAATGTCTTATTGGCTTAATAGTTATTAAATGTGTTTCTTAAATATTATTTTATTTTTATTTTTTTGAAAGGCAAATTTCCTGCTTGCACAGGTGTGAGTAGATGAAAGTTTAACTTTCTCCTTTTGGAGCAGTATGGAGCCCCGATAGATACCAAAAATCACAAATCAAATTATTTCAGGTAATGTGACAATTATTTAATATGTGCACAATTTAATATAAAGATCCACATGTGAATTGAAAGTTTAGTCTTTTTTTTATTGCTGAATAACTATTTACTGAATTATTCAGATGAGGTGTGGAAAAATAAAAATGAAAAAAAAAGGACTCCAAAATGTCATTATATTACCGTTATTATTTCAACTGTATTAATTTGCCAATTAATTGTTTTGTGTATGTATAAAATTACATTAAAATACATTTTAATTAGTTAATCCACAATGTAATACATGCATCCGCATTTGAATCCACATTTGAATCCTATTTAAAAATCCTTTTTTTTTTACTGTAAATTTATTTCATCCTGTGAACACTAAAAGTCCAGCTTCAGCCGCCAGCTTTTGAGACGCTTGCCATGCCGTGTGTCGCAGTGGATTGCCTGCACTTGTCCCACACACTTGCTTGGCTTGTCACACACGCATCACAACTAAATTATTATTTCACTTCCACGTGTCTTTGTGTGGGTGTGTAACACAATCAACGGGTGCTTGGAGTGTTTCCTCAGAGCACGTTGACGTGTTAGTGTGTGGAATAACAATAAGTATTCCATTTTCTTGCTGCCCAGAGTCTCCTCTTGGATGAAATTCTGCTTTCCTCGTTCTCCTCCATTGTCATTGTTTGTTATTCTGTCTTGTTCCAATCGATGCGTTTAATGCGGTTGCTTGGATGCCGCAGTATTATACGCCACAGTCGCTAGTTTTTAAAGCAGAAGGTCTTCTCTGCCCACAGTCTATTCTATTTTTTGTTGTTTGTTAGTGTCTTTCATTCGTACTGATGTGTACAATGTGGCATGAAAAACTGACTCCTCCAAAATTAGTCTCTGGGGCCTACAAGTTTATACGTTGTGTCGAGAAATGACAAAAAATAAACACACCCTTATTTTCTAGTCACTGCAGTATTATACTCCACAGTCTCAACTTTGCTGCAGCAGTCTGGTTTCTTGCCATTACATTATTTTAACATGAGACAGAAGACAAAAATGAACAGAGAAGCCAGCTTGCACTGTTGCCTTAGAAAAAAAAATATATATATATGCCCTATGATTGGCTGGCAATCAGTTTAGGTTGCACGCCGCCTACTGCCTGAAGACAGCTGGGATAGGCCCCAGCATTCCCGCAACCCTCATGAGAATAAGCGGATTAGAAAATGGATAGATGGATATTGTAGAGGCGGAGGAGTCTGGCTGTGATGATGGATTGAACGGGGTAAATGGCAGCAGGAGGGGACTGTGGCAGTGATAGCAGGGGCCTGTAGGGGGAGCTCTGGCAGAAGCAAGTACTGTGAGGTGGTAGAGTAAGGGAAGAGGAAGCTGGAGGTGTGTGATTTGTAAATAGGCAACATGTGGAGTGATGAGCAGCGTGCTGGACACTGCAGTGTTGTGCTCCATAGTCTCCACTTTGCTGCAGCAGTCTGTTTTCATGTCTCCATGTAAGATTAAAGGATTAGCAGCTGGAAATGACAAACACATGCTAATGCAAGCTTGCACTCTTGCTTTGACTTTTCTCTGAACGCTGTTGTATTGTACCGTATATAAACACACATGCTAACGATACCGTACATTGGACGCTGCAGTATTATACTCGACAATCTCCACCTCTCTGCTAATTAAAAAAAAAATGCAATTTGCCATTTGCACCAGAGTAAAATTGAATTATCCTCCATTGTTGGTCAGTGTGGCTCGTTCGGAATGGAGATTTTTAAATGACTTGGAAATCCAACTTCCCTTAACTGCCACACTGCGAAATAACACGTCAGCTCATTGAGTCTGTTAATTGTGTGTATTTCTTCCTGTTTCCTTTGTGACTGTGTCCCCAGTGTGGTTTCTTCCAACGGGCCCATCTCAAAGACAAACTGCCTCAGTACCACGCAGTGAAGATCCCTCGCCAGGAGCGGCCGCAGTTCCAGACAGAGAAATCTGGCGTTCATAAAAAGGAATGGACCACACACTGGAGTGACGGGTCTTCTTAAACACACCCACACACACACACACATCCTCAACCTACCACACCGACCACCCCCTTCTGAGCGTGTCACTCATTTGGACATACTGCAGCGGTGACACAAGCACATTGCTGAAGACTGCATCTTGAGTGATTGTTTGGCCATCGTGGTGTGTTTGAAGCATATATGATGATTGTTAAACATATGGGACGATGGTGAGGTAGCCTGTGACAAGGACTACTACTCTATGTGTTGAGTTGTTTTTTGTTTTTGTTTTTGCCTGAACTGCTGTAGCATTGATGACCTATATGGGCAGTTTTTATATATAATATTAGTTTTAGTGTCTGCAAGGCAGACCGATTGAAATGGCCGAAAATCAGTTCCCCTAAGAAGTGCTGTTTTTTTTTTTTTGTGTTTGTTGTTTTGAGGGTTTTTTGCTTTTTTTGTGTGGGACCCTGGTTCTTGTGTAAGTTTACCAGAAATCCTGGACTTAAAAATGGGTCTGGCAAAAACTTGCGATTTATGGGCAGACCTGATTTCTGACAAATTCCAATTTCATCCCATATCCCCCACACTAGGTTGGTGTCAAATTCATTTTCAGGTTGGGCCATGACTGTGAAAATCATATATACTCACACACACACACACACACACACACACACACACACACACACACACACACACACACACACACACACACACACACACACACACACTCACGACAGCATTTGGCCCCGATGCAAGCGGACTGTACAAGGAGTCCTCGCTTTATAAGCAAAGCAATGCAACTTGCACTTTCACCCTTGCCAGGGGTAATAAAATTACCCTCACAGTTTTCGTCAAGTTGGTGAGCAGCAACGTTTTCCTGATTTTGTTCTTTTTCTCATTTCACTTTTTCTTCCTCCTTGAATATTTCGCATTGAGTCATCTTAAATTCATCGATGAGTCCTCTTGCCGCTTGAGCGTCTTTATTTTGAACCTTTACCTGACTGAGACTGTTGTTTGCCGCTGATGACAATCAGTTCATTGTTGTTTGTTACCACGGAAACGTCAAAGAACACGTCTTCCTTTAAACACTGTTTACCCGCAAAAGTCATGATCTGTCGTGCGTTTCTGCATTTGTTGTTTTTTCCCCCCCCCCTCCTTTTGAATGAGCAGGTCCTGATGGCCAAAGGTGGTCAGATATGGTGTAACACAAATTTTTTTGTTTTGTTTTGTTTTGTTTTTTTGCTCATTATGTGAATTTTGGAACAGCTACAAAAGGTTTTGCAATTCAGTATACGTTTCGATACTCCAGATATGACCTAAAGAGGATATATTATGGAACGCGTGCTCTTTAATTGTTTGTATGTACAAACTATGTATAGTTGGGAGTTTCTGTCCATCCATCAAGTGTGAAATTAAACAAACAAGTCCATTTTGTTACCTGCTATCTCCACTCGTGGTTTAGCGCAATCACCATTCATTTTTACCGTGGATGCAAGGAGAAAGAAACACGACATCAATGCAAAAAAGTAAGCAGACCTGCACTAACTTTTGTCAAACGCACAAAAATGCTTGGTTGAAGTTGTTGACACGGTGGGAATGGAGGCCTATTTGCATTTGACAATGCGTCCGTTGCATTGCACCACAAACCTGGATCCTCATAGTCATTTCAAAAGCGTAATTCTTTGTTCTTGATGTCACTGTCATATGCGTCCAGCAGAGGGGGTGCTACACTAAGCAAACTGCAAGTTTTGTTTTGGGTCCCTTGAGGTGTTGATCATCAGGATCAACGTGCAGGAAATGGTTCTGACTCAGGCGGCATTTCCTGCGTTGCTCAACAATATCCTCCATTCCTGGTGTTTGTTTATGAAATATATTTTGGGAATTAAACATGCGCATATTGAATCTGTTTCTCTGTTATGAATCACTTGATAAAACAGATCTTTCATATGTTATCAGATAAGCATCCAACAAACTCCTCTGAGAGTTTGAGGCAATTTCATGTTCATGTCTCTGAATAAACAATTCCGTCTAAACACGTGTTGCATAATTTGAGGTTGAATGCCGAGTCTGTGCCTGTGGATCTAGACCAGAGCAGAGACAAAAACAAATTGTAATTTACAGGCTATATACTGTATAATCATATGTTTTATGTTTGCTTTATATCATTTCATATGGCAACAAACCATTATAATTTCATCTGGAATGGATTTTTTGCTGAGCATTGGAGCAGACACACTTAAAGCATACTAAAGTGACAGATCCTGAATATTTAATTTCTTAATCATTTGCTTGCAAAACTGCATACAATTTGTGGGACACTGGACGTCACTAACCTTTTGTATTCTTTTGTGAAACTTTTCAAGGCTTCGCACTGCAGCCTTTGTCATTTGTTTGTTTCTGGGGATTACACTTTCCTCTTTTGCAGGTAAAATGAATGCTCGATGGGGTTTATGTCTTGACATTGCAAGCTGAGCTTTTCTGGTGTCATACTTCCAACATTACAACGTGTGACCAGACTGGCGCGAGGTAAACAACACAACGAGTTTCTAACAGCCGCCGGTCACATTTTGTTTCATTTTGCTTGCTCACGTATTACCCAATGAATGACTCTTATGATCCTGTCCAGGCTCGTATGAGTGTGGGGAGATTTCCTGTCGGCACGGTGCAGTGCCGTGTACAGTGAGTCTGCGCTGCATCACAATGCAGTGAGGCGAATGGGTGGAGAGAACTTCGGAGGGTGACTATGACATTTCATTCTTCTCTCTGTGAGTCCTCACATAGTCAGACTTAAAAGATGACATGGTAGGTTGCAAAAACATCACTAGATAAGTAAATTCATGTTTCATGAAAGACTGGAAGTCCCCTCAAGGCCTATAAATCTTCCTGGGAATGTGAAGAAACCTGGTTGTCATAAAAGTTAGCCACAATTTAAGAATTTCAAATGTAAAGTCCTCAGAGGAGCAGCAATCAAAGATCAATTTAAATTAAGAGTAGTACTTGTTGACACCATCCATAACTCAACTCAACTCAACTCAAGTGTATTTATAGAGCACTTTCAAACAGCCATCGGTGCACACAAAGTGCTGTACATGGAGCAACTAACATATACAACAGTAAAGCAGCATAAGAGGAAACTTTCCAAAACTCCACTTGAAAAAGTCATTCAATGAAAAAGAAAGCTTTAAAAGTATTTTGTCACTGCAGCAGGACAGTACAGTTGTGCATTGACTGTATGTCATCCCCGCTCTCTGTTTTAACCCCCCACATTTCCAATCTGGCAATTCCCACATCTCAGCCAATGCAGCGTGGCGGCGTGTCTCCCGGCGCTCGGGCAAGTCTGAAACCCGAATCCCTGAAAGCCACCGCTGATACAGATCTCTTTGCACCTCTTAGGATTTGTAATCTGCTCAAGCATGCAGACGGAGTGATGTCACATGCTGCAGTCCCACCTGGAGGCGCACGGATCATCATCAAGCCAAATACCCCCGATAACCTCCTTAAAATGTCTTTATTTATGTCTGATTTGTGCACTCGAGCCAGATGTGGCGCTAAAGCCGCAATGTGACGCGTAGGTCATAACAGCTACGTCTTCATTGGTAAGCGGAACAGAAAATGGGGAAACTCATGCAGTTTGATTCAATTTCTACTTCGCTTTTTTTCACTTCCTCTCCTTTGCTCTTTGTTTTGATGCCGTCCGTTATGGTTGTAGCGCGTCACTCATGACCACAGAATTTCTGAGGAACTGCGATAAGGGCAGACAGTTGCGAGTGAGTGAAAGGTGGTAACCTGGCTGTTACATAAATGTTATGACAAAGCTGATTTGACGGGCCTCGGGCCGCCACGGTTTCAAAACATTTTAACAGGAACACAATCAAATCAATAAAAATATGTCAAGAAGAATTACACAATGCAGTCCACATTGGCTCATTTGGTCTTCAAGTCAATGTCTTAGTACTTCTTCGTAAAAAAAATAACCAATGTTGAATTGCTCTTACATGGGGTAATCACAGACAGGACAGTGTAGGGGTTAGCAAGTCTACTTGACAGTCGACGGGTTGTGGGTTTGAATCTGAGCACTGCTGAGTGAAGTTTGCATCATGATGCTTGTGTGGGTTTTCGATGAATACTCTGCCTTCTTTTCACATTCCAAAAACATTCATGTTAGGTTTACGAATTTGTCCATAGGTGAGAATGTGAAATTGCGCCCTGTGATTGGCTGGTGAACAGTCATTGGTGTACCCAAATTTAGTCAGAATAGGCTCCAGCTTACCTGATACCACAATGAGATAAGCAGGACAGAATATGAATCGATGGGTAGGGTAATCACAATTTAGTGTACTTTTTAGGATCCCCCATGTTTGACTGTAACATGATCTTTTGATATTACGCAGCAGCAGTCCATAAAAGACATGGTAGAGACCAGACATGGGACAGAAAAAAACATATTGCAGCCATGGAGCAAGGCGCCAAACCCCTTACGGAACGGAATAAGGGCATTTTCATTTATTTCAATGGGAAAAGATGATTTGAGATACAAGCCTTTTGAGTGTGGCCACGAAACAAATTTAACTTGTATCTCAACGCGCTTCTGGATGTTTTCTTGCTATTTCGTCTACTTTGTCGGGGAACTCAACATAACCTAAAACCGACTATTTGTTTGAAGAACCTGCGCCCTCATGCAAATGTTTGTGTTTTGGCGGTCTGGAATACAATGCCCTCAAAACTCACTCAATGGCGCCCCCTGGAAGGTTAGGAACAAGACAAAAGATCGCTGAGGAGAACTGCAGTGTGATTCTGCAGAGGAGGACTTTGCTCGTACCTTTTGGTGGCCTCGCAGCGACAACTGGTCACCGGGAGACACTCTTCTCACCACACTTGGCACCATTTGGCCGCTTCAAAGCTCCCGGTGTTCTTTGTTCCTTTATCTGGCGGGCAAATTTTGTAGTCAACAGAAACATGATAACACCATTAGTGAGGCCACGTCACAGCAAGGCTGCGGCCTGTCTTTGTCAGATGGAGCCGCAAGGTGTCTTCAGACTAATTTAGAGATGCCATAGTTATTGGTCACGTAGTGAAGTTTGAATATATTGCATGTTGTGCGGCATTGTTGAGCTTTTAGCCTACGGCGAACAAGTCACGAGCTGCAAAGTCAAACATGGATTTAAGCCAGTGTTCGCTCATGCGATGAAAAATACGTCACTCGGTCAGGGCTGAAGAAACGTTGCATGCCAACCTGGAACTGCCTTTGTTTTCAGGAGAGGATTGACTGACAATTGCACAATTCATCAAATTATTCAGTTCAGACTCTTTGGTATGTAAATTCAACGGGTGAAGAATTGAATAAGATTCCACTTTTCGCGATTTATTCTTGCGTGCGTTCAACATGTCTAAGCTTCGGTTCATTTCATCAGCCATCACATTTGCAAGAACCCGACCAAAATGTAAGCGCCAAAATGCTTCTTTTGAGCCTTGGCGTAACATAAAATATACTTTATTGACATCACTTTTTAGGGCAAGGAATGTCAAGATGGACACCACCCTCACTATAACACAATAGAACCAAGTGAGCCCCACCCTCCACCCACCCACCCTTTCAGATGAGACCGCGAATGCTAAGCTAGTGAGTTAGACTTTAGGGGATTACTTCAAAAGGAAAAACTGGGGCTCGTTTTTTTTCGTTGTTGATAAAACACTGACATAAACAATTCCTCACGTCCATTTGTCAAAGTGCCCTGAGGCCAGAGATTATAAGCCCCAATGGCTCCCCATAGTCAGCTCATCACCTCGCACGGCAAATTGCAGCCATCTGGGAGTGAATGTGAGAATGCAAATACTGTATTTTGTGTTTGGAGCTGTGACATGAGGAATGACTTTGGAGTTTGCTGTTCTCATAGTTGTAATTAGTTCTGTTATCACAGAAGGAAGTAGTTGAGTAATGGCATGGATTTGGGTTTTCGTGGTTTTGATGTGGGAAACCCAAGCACGGGCAGGTTAAAGAAGGCAAAACAAAAGACTGTAGCATGATTTTCAAAAAAAAAAAAAAAAAGAAGAAAGAAACGATTAAAAGAAATATGGGAGAAATGAACCCTCAACACTGAGGCCAACTGGGAAAACATGTTGACAAAGGCTACATGATATAAAAGACAGCACAACACTAAATATAAGCTCATTGACGAGACAACGAGGCACACCCAGAAAAAAAACATAAGTAGCTGGAGGAAGCTGATTGATTGAAACAAGTACAGGTGGAGATGAAAAGGTTGCACAAAAAAAGGTGGCATAAACTGAAACAAAATTACCGGTAATTCTAAAAGAAAAAGAAAAAAAATCAACAAAAACACAGATCAAGGATTGCTGCCTAGTCCCTCATTTTCTGCTACATTTCCCGACCTCCCACATCCCTGTGTCACCATCCAGAACAAATCTCGGCCACGGTGTTGGCCTCCTTGGAGAGTCCAGCCGTGCAGATGTGGCCCAGCGCCTTTGGGAAGGTGACCGTAAGAATAAAAGCTGCGGTGACATCTTTACAGCAGCCTCAGACAGAACGGCGGCCGAGTCGTAGCAGGGGAGCTGCACTCGGATCTGTGAGTGCTTTCAGAACCTCATCCGTGTCCTCGCTGACCCAAACCCGAGCTGTGCCCCGACACCTTCCCGTGCCAATGTTAGCTACCTTCTTGTTATACGTCTGCCGTTTTGATTTTATTGGATTATTGTAGCAAGACTCAAGGGGCCTCTTTATCGGCCGATGTGGAGATGTTTAGCAGGTAACACTTGAGGGCTGACTTTAGATCATGGCCAAAATTTTTTTTTTGTTGCTGTTTTTGGGAGGGTGCTTGAGACTTAGAATTGCCTTGACACCTATTAACCCTCCACCGTGTCCCGGAGGTTCCAGGGAAAGCTTGGGGGAAAAAAAATACTGTAATAGCTAAGATTCCACCGACTCGCTAACCTTTTCCAGCGGGAGGTTACGGACTTTGGATTGAAATCCACTTGTGGAAAAAGAGCTTGGTTGTATCGTAGAGACCAGTTCAAGAAAACAGTCAGGTTGTGTGAGGAGGCCAGAACCTGAGTCAGACTGTGGATATTTTGAAGACCTTGGAAAGTTACAAATTGAAATCCCTCAGAATCATTATTATTTCCACAGTTCAATCGCTGAGAAGCATTTCTATGTGCCCTGTGGGTCTTCTTTGGAGGATACATCCTTAAAAGCGATCCCGTTTTTGAGAAGTCCAACATTCCGATGATGTTTAGGATGAGAAACCTAAACAGAAATAGCCTGGCATATTTTGTTCTTTTAGTGAGTTTGGTGTTATTCCAAGTGTTAAAACATACAGAAGGGAAATTCTGGACTATACATTTGAATTGTTCATACCTATGGAAACAAAAGTCTACACACCCTGGTTAAGATTTTTGTGATGTTAAAAAATATGAGCCCAATCTCGAGCCGTTCAAAACTTTGACATGTAGAGCTCTTCTTTTGTTCAGAAATGAACAAATCACAGTCAACACACACCTGGCACCTTTATAGTCTCTCTGATGAAGCTCAAATAAATTCTAGTGGTTCTAGTAGGCTTTTCTTGATGATGGACCATAACGCGATCTCCCAATCACATATGAGAAAACTTTGTGTGGCGTATGGTATGGTGAAACAGAGGCCTAGTCAAGCTGGAAGAAATTATGAACTGTTACAAATAGGAGTCAGTGTTAGGACAAAACCTTCAGGCTTCGTTGCTGTGAAAGCATTCATAACAAGAACATTTATGAGACCCCTTGAGGGCCCGCAGTCGGCCACCCTCCAGTTCCTGAGCCACGACGTTCGACAAGCTTGAATGAGTGCCACGAGAGCACAATATGAATGCGTATGAGGTACGTTGGGTGCATATCAAATGTCATCTTAAATCATAACCGCCGCGCTCCATCTTCTGCTCATTTGTACCCCCGGTGGTGCTGTGGATGGCTGGAATGTGTGTAGGAGGATTTCAGAGGCATCGGATTGCCACCGCGGAGTTTGCTAACAAGGCCCGCGGCAATCGGCCAGCGTCATTCGCATGATTCGCCTTTGTAGGGCCGCCAAGGCGGAAGGATGACCTCACTGGCCGCGCCCATCGCGGCGCAACGCTTCTCACTGCTTTCTAACGGGAAGACCAACGCAGCAGCAATGCAAGTTGACTTTTTCAATGCATCACTTACCAATGTGTGAGGAGACAGCAAGTTTTAGTATGTAGCTACACCCTAGTGCCAACTAATGACTTTTACAAACATTTTATTTTAGGGACTATAATTGAGTGGGCCATATAAATAATCCGGTTTGAATATTACAAATATTACAAAACTATAACTAGTGAATATTACATGTTTAGTTCTCTTAGTATTTTATTTTTTGATATGTTTATGTAAAATTTGTGTTCATATGTGCGTATGTAGGCGGCCTGGTGGTGAACTGGTTAGCACAGACGCCTCACAGTGCGGCGGTGCAGGGTTCGATTCTGGCTCCAGCCTTCCTGTGTGGGGTTTGCATGTTCTTCCCGTGCCTGCGTGGGTTTTCTCCGGGTACTCCGGTTTCCTCCCACATTCCAAAAAAACATGTCTGGTAGGTTAATGGAATACATGAATATAATTATATTATAGTTGAATTAAAATTGTCCCGAGGCGTGGGTGTGAGCCTGGATGGTTGTTCATCAATGTGTGCCCTGCGATTGGCTGGCAACCGGTTCAGGGTGCCCCTTGCCTACTGCCCAAAGACAGCTAGGATAAGCAGATCAGAAAATGGATGGATGTGCTTGTGTTTTATGCATTACATTTTACAGTACATTTCCCCATCTTTTGAAATGGTTATGGTAATTTAATGGTTATGTAATGG